CGATATACTATTATTTTGACAAAAAAATTAAAATATTCTACTTTGGCTTCTCCTGAATGCCTTTCTTTTCGAGATGCTATTTTTCTTTTTAGACACATATCTTCCGATAATGATCATTAAACATATCTTCCGACTGAGCAGAATCATCCTCCTTAAAACTGTTTCTAATATCCCAATCCTGTACCTAAATGATAATTCAACCCCGCAGCCCCTCATACATTTCCGAGCTCCTTCAGTTCAAGTCGTCTGTGCACTCCGTTTCTGGCCTTCTTCAGATTCATACACAAGGATCCACCAAACCGCATTGAAAGATCTTTCATTATTCGATCCTCGTCCATACGGAATTCCATACTCACCTACATCCGTCACTCCAATACCTCATCCACCATTAAATCCCGCCTATTTAATTACTTCCTATCCACCCAGTTTTCAAACAATTGTTAATAGTTTTTCCTGTAAATATGTATATGAATTATTAATTTGTTTCCAAGTATTTTTATTTTTGTAAATCATTAATATTAAAGTTAACTCATATTTTTTTTTTTAATATTTCAATTTGTTTATTTTATTAATATTTTTTATAAAATTGAGGCTCTAAAGCCCACAATTGTATTATTCTAATGGGACTTGTCCCTAAATAAATAAAGCCTATTGTTATTTGTATTTGCTTTCTCAGATGTCTGGATAGTGTATATAGGTATGCATGTGTTTTTTTGCTTAGATTTAATTAATTTTTTTTAGGTTATTTTATTTTATTTATTGTATATACATTTGATTATTATTTATTGTTATTTTGCTTCTATTTATTTTATATTTTTTGTACATATAGTGTAAATGTTATCCTACATCACGATAACTAATGGCCATGTGACTAGTGTTGCCCAAAATCGGTCTTGGTCTTGCACTTTGCAAGACCAAGACCAAGGCCGCCTAACTGTTGCAAGACCAAGACCAGGATGGTAAAAAAAATCGATGTTTTTAATAAAAAATTAAGGCAAAATAGTTACTAATACTCGACAATCTTAGTTACTATATGTAAATAATTGGTATAACCAATATAGTTTTGCATTTAATTCCTCTAATTTCTCATTTAGGCTTAGTTAGGTTTCTCCTATCTACAAAATACAGTACTGTAAGACTGTTGCGAGACTCTTGTGCAAGACCAAGACCATGACCAAACTGAGTTGGCAAGACCAAGACTCGTCTGGGTCTCGCATTTGGGCAACACTGCATGTGACAGATCGCCGTAATACTCAATAAATAAATAGAATAAAAACAAAGAAATAAAAAAAAAAGATATCTGGAATATCTACATCCCGGTAAAAAAAACCTTCTAGGGAATACTGACGGACGATTTTATTTATTTAAAAATTTTCTTACGACCCTGCACGTATCGAACAGGATTGCATTTTCAGCTGATTTTAAATATGTTAAGTCAAGTCCAAAATCTTTGGTACCTTCTGTTGTACTTTTCGATACTAGATCATTCCATGATATTATGGGAGTATTTTTTTTTTCTCTAAATGTTATAACGTTTTTAACTCCCGATATTTTCGGCCCTGGTGGTTAATATGTTGGTATCACAGGGTACTGCTATAGTGATTGTGATATTTGTTTTATTTCTTTTGTCTATAACGAAGATATTCCGGCGGATATGCAGTACCCTCTGGTCTGTTATTACGATAGTAGGGTACTTCATCCTTGCTCGGTAGTCAGAATGTTCTGCATGTACTTTGGTGGTATATTTTTGAGTCATTATTATACTTCATTAGGTATTACGTCCCAGCCAAAATATTGCAGCCATTGGTTACATAATGGATAGATTCATACGTCTTAGAGCAAATGCGAAACTTATCCTTAGCCAAGTTTTCTTTTTATATGAGTTTCCTATATGCCTTGGTTGCGATAATTGACTCTGAATAAGAAAACCCTTCGTCCTCGCCATATATTTGCCCTGGCTTTACCAATTCAACTGAGAACTCATTGTCAATCTCGAGCTCAAGCAATAGTTGGTAAACTCTCTGATATGCGATTCCTTTTCCTTATGTAGTTTGTAATAGTTGATATTTTTCACTTCAGACAGAATTGGACCGCTTAAATTCAGGGAAGTTAGTATAGCCTTATTATTGTCATCTTACTGATAATATTCCAGTAACGTTTTATAATTTCACTTTTCGGCGCCCGTTACGTATGTTTCCTCGTATCGGATTTCTTTTACCCGTTCGTTACTTCAGTATATGACTTTTTTCCATTTTCGTTGGATTGTCCAAAAAATAATTCAGGATTTTACATTTTCTCTATATTAACCTATACAAAGAACGTTTTACGTTGTCAAAATGGGTGTCAAAATTGATTAACCACATTCCAAACAAAAATGTTTTTTTTGACATAGCATTTCGATAGTAGGAAAGAATTCTGTCTTTAGTAAGATGCCAAAGCATAATTTCAATTTACGAATTTGGTTTGGTCGAATCAAGGTCCAAATGGACAAAAACATTAATAAAGCATGCGGCGATGGAAGTGTGAGTGATGGTAAAAACATTTCGGATGAGATACTTGAACCTTGCAGACAGAAACGGGCTTGGACTCTTGAAGACGATGTTCTGCGAGGTCAGTCGAAGAAAATACCACAACAGTTGTTGGAGAACTAGCAGAGAAATTTTCAGTTACCAAATCAACCATCGCTGGCTACCTCAACGCAATCGGAAATGTAAGAAACCTTGACTGACACACCGGTTCCCCATTCATCAAACGACTGCCTAAAAAAAATATTCGTTGAAACAGAAACGAACATTTTCCGCCTTCCTTCTTCAGACCTTTCTCCTACCAACCAACAATTTTTTTAAAATTTAAAATTGTATCCATCACGATTTGTTAAAATATGCTTTTTCACAATTTGTTAACAATAACGATTGGACTTTGATGGATTGATACTGAAATGCATCAAGAGTTATGGAGCGTATTTCGATTAATAAAAATAGTTTGATATAATTTATTTTATTTTCAGACCATATACCTGCATTAATTTTTGGACAATCCAGTATAGAGTAGAATAGAAAAATAACTTTAGACTTCAGAAAGCTCCCTAAGAATAACAACACCGTACAAAAAAAGATTACTTATGGCCAAAAGGTTTGATAAATAAAATAAAATCTTTTTTTATTTATTTATTAAACGCTATTAGGCCATTCGGCTCCTGGCAGCCCTATAAAATTCCACCATTATTCCTTTGCTTGAATTTGTTCTGATCTCATCAGAATTAATAAAATCTAAAAACAAAGAAAACATTAAGTAAACTAACTATATACAAAATTATGTACAAAATAGTTAAAACTGCGGACAAAACACTGGAAACTAATTAGAAACTTCATCGAAAATTGTAAAATAGAATACATATTTCCTTATAAGAAATTAAAAATAATTTTTAATTCTTCTAATAAATAAGCTCTATTTTTTTACTAAGACAAAAGAAAGTTGTATTTATAATTTTTTATGTTGGATTCTTGTTATTTACATGGTAAAAAACATAACTATCATTTCATGATAAATGACATGAGATACGTGTACAAAGTCAAAAGCAATGTGTAAATAAGGACAGAGTCCTGTTATTTCCTGCAAGGTATGCAACAAGTACACATTATAAATAAAAAATTGACATATAATTTACTTTATGCTCTTCTAAACATGAAAGGGCAGAGATACATTGTCGACTGGAAGGCTGCTAGTGGCAGAGCTTTACAATAGAAGTAGCTCAATGAAGACGAAGAGGGTTGTATCCCCCCCTCCCCCCCAGGAAGGGCAGGGAGCTGGGAGTCAGTCGACCAAGTGGAGACAACGCGACCACCCTGGCTCTCTGCCATTATGCCGGTTCCAGCGCCGTGAGTCAAATGATTACATTTAGTCTTACCGTAGCTAATTGAATGTATCCACCCGATTAATTATTCTCATCTTACTTGTTGCCTATAGCTCCATAAATATTTTGTATTTATTTATTAAATTGGGGCTGAGATAAGGAGAGAATAAGTAATGAAAAAAGTTCAAAACTAGAAACTATTATATCCAATTAATTATGATGCTATACTGAAACCCTAGTTTTCTTTTGTTAAGCTACCAAGGAGTAAACAAGATGCTCATATTGCTCTAGATATGATGAAGCTTTATATTTTTCTTAATTTCGGCAAGATTTAAAAAATACGTCTTTCGACCTAATATAATTATCTCAAAATTAGTTTTTCAAAAGCGCTAGCAGACAAGTAGTCTGCCTAAAAAAAATATCAACCGAATAATCCTGTAATATTTATATATTTACCCTCCCTCCCATTTTTTAAATACTTGTTTTATTCATTTGAAAAAGATAAACAAGATTGAAAAATTATATTTTTTAACACGTTTTATCCTACATGAAGGCCCAACTGCCATTATTATTGTAAATATTTCTATGAATAATTAATAAGTTGTTGGTATTAGTTTTTAGCATTCTTTATTGGCTTGAGGTTTCGGGCTTTTGTTGCCCATTTTCAATAGCTGCTAACTTATTGTTTAATGATTTTCTTTCCATATCATGTTCAAAAATAATAAAAATAACTGAAAAAAATAAATCAGAAATATTCTGATGACCATTTATTAAAACTCGATTCACCGATAATTATCAAATTTTGGCACGGTGAATATCTATTTTTCATAATGTTGAATACTCTCTTTGACACTACGGAAATATAAAATATATTACAAGTCTGTTTTGTCTAGTTTTAATTTGTATGGGAAGATATGGTTAGTATGGTTAAAATTAACTAACTACCAATTAATTATTTTGAATTGAATGTACGATATCTGTTAAAAAAACATTGAAATTTTCCAATTAACTGATAAGCGATTTTTTAACGCTATTTAGAAATATCGAAATAAGTATTTGTTGTATCAAGGGATAAATATACTAGCAATAATTTGCAACTTATTTGAAGTGATGAAATGTAACGTAAGGTTTGCTTTATTATTTTCAGGACCGCTTGGGGACTAGCGGACCTCCTTTTTCCCCAGGACGGACTCCTCTTCAAGCAGATTTCCAGCCACCCTACTTTCCACCACCATTCCCTGCAAACTCATCACCACCAGTCGATTACATGTCTCCTGATCCATATTCCCTCAATGTCCACCACCAACACTACCAGCTTCAGAGAAGGGAATCCGAGATACATGTGAGTATAGCTTCATCAACTATAACTAGTGTTGTCCAAAATCGGTATTGGTCTTGCACTTTGCAAGATCCCAACCAAGGCCGCCTAACTGCTGCAAGACCAAGTCCAGGACTGGTAAAAAAAATCGATTTTTTGAATAACAATTAAGGCAAAATTGTTACTAATACTTGATAATCTTAATTACTATATGTAAATAATTGGTATAACTTATATACTTTTGCATTTAACTCCTTTAATTTTTCATTCGGGCCTAGTTAGGTTTCTCCTATCTAAAAAACTACAGTAATATTTCTATTGTAATAAGCTAATAAGTATCTGCAAGACCAAGACCATGACCAAGACTGAGTTTGCAAAACCAAGACTCGTCTCGGTCTCGCATTTGGGCAACACTAACTATAACTAACTATGAAAATACTGGAATATTCTTTCTAAAGAAACTCTCCAAGTAGGAAAAGATGATTAAATATCGGCTCTTATTACATGAAAATTAAAAATTGTCATTATTATAAATTCTAAATATTATATTTTGTTTTATCTCTCTTTATCTCTTTTATCATTTCTCTCTTTCCTATATCTGGGTATGTTTTGTGTCACTGATCTATTTAGTATAGCTCCTGTCAATACTGTTTTTTTTTTGTGTCACTGATCTATTTAGTATAGCTCCTGTCAATATTGTTTTTTTTAAATGATTGGTATTTGCAAGTTCTATTAGTGCTAGAACCGAATTTTCTTTTTATATGCGTTGGGCATAAAACATCAAGGCAACTGATTTTGTCATATTTTATTAATAATAAGTGTTTTGAAGTCTTGATTAAAATAGTAATTCACCTATAATCTTCTTTTAATTTAAAATCCACTACAAATAAACACTACAGTTACACATATAAAACTCTATAGCCTTCCATTTACTACAGCCTTACATTATATGAGACCATATTGGATATTGAAATACATTACATTATATTACAACTAATGTTTGTATTTTGTAATTGTTCTTGGACGGTTAGAGATATGTGGGCTCCTCAGTCTTAGAGATATTGGAACATTTTGTGTTTTTTTTTTGGTTTTTTTTTGTACTTTTGTTATCATTTCCGAAATTGGTAATTTAATGCAGCCAATCAGTCCGCTTACTGTCTAACCCGCCCCTGTTAGTCTTTATTTATTTATTTTTATTTTCAATTATTGAAACTTATAATCGCTGTATTAAATAAATACAACAAGTAAATCTGAACAATTAAGAATAATGCCATGAACAGACTTGTGGGGACATTACCCAATGGTAGCTCTCCGTCAGGATGATCCCAAGACCCTCTTCTTTTCAGACGCCAAGGATAGTCAGAAATTGAGGAAGAAGCATGGCCGGAAACGAGTGGGTTCCAATGGATCTCCAGTTTTTCATGAAAGGATAGCTACCTGGATCAGGTGAAATAAGCGACATAGTTTACATGTTAACCTATTTTTTTTTTAAATCTATCTATTTATACCCATTGCTTCTGAATAACTCATCAATCCCATTCTTATATTGACTCTATCAGATTTCGGTCAAAATAGGAAAACAGGTCTGAAATTAATCTACATTCGGTCATTGCATATTACAATACGTGAGCACGCACGATTTATTAGTGGATTGAAAGATTTAGGAGAGTTTTTTAAACCTCTGCGGTTGGAAGAGAGGGGATGATTTGGTCTATAAGATAGCTAATGGAATTGTAAATTTGATCATTTTCAGAGTAACATGCACACTGGCTTCCCTTACGATGGCCAACCCCGGCGCTCAGATTACGGAATCAGGAGGAGTGAACTCCTGCAACATTCCGGCCTCGACGAATCCCAGCTGGTCCTCCACAATGCCCTATCAAGTGCTGTCGACGATGGTCAGGTAATTGATGATTTATTTTATTTATCACAACAACAGTCATTTCTTAACGACACATATAATAATTTAATTGCCTAAACAGAAGTTAAAGCTTTGAGAGACAGAAACCATATTAACATGTAAAATATAATAATTCTGAAATGAAATTTTTTTGTACTATCCTGGGACTGTTTTCCCTTTAGAACAAATTATAGCTATAGAAAAAATGCCTGTGTGGCCATATATTAAATTAAATATTAACAAAATAATATCTCATCAAAATTAAAACATAGCAAGAATAAAAGAACACTAAAGACAGAACAAAAACATCCAGATATATATAAAATAGCATAAGTAAACAAAATAATTTCTAGGAGAACTTAAAAAGCTCTCTTATGTACATTTTTGATCAATCGGGTTGGGAAAGGAGTAGCCGCTTAAAAGGAGAGATTTAAATGAGGAAACTGATTGCGCATGTCGGATATTTGGTGGGATGGTATTCCAGAAGGAGACGGCTTGAATTACGAATGATTTGTCAAAACCGAGGAAGGGGATAGAGGTCGGAAGTACGGGATCTAGTATGGCGGGATTGAATGGAGTGTTTAAATTGTAGGCTGTAAGAAATATAGGAAGTTCTGATGGCTTGGTAAAGAAAGGTAGCAAGGAAGTACAGACGGCGGTTGGATGGATAGAGCCACTTCAACTCGGTGTAATATGCGTATCTCTTGAGATTCCGAAAACAATTATATGGTATATACGTGCTGATTTATTTCTTATTTCCTTATAGCTTTAGAGCAAACATGAATTATCAGCCTTATAGAAAAACAGGGACTAATCTGGGGCTACGCAGTCGCACCATGACCATAAATACTGGCATATACATTTACAGTTTTGAGTCATACTCACTTTATTGATTCTAATCGAATTTTTCAAGTTTCGATTCTAGGAGAAAAACAGTCTCCTGAAAACTAACCTGCAAATCTGCTTGCAATAACGACCATTTAGCAATTTTTAAACATGGTTCATTCGTTGGCCAGCGTTTTTGTATATTGGGCTGAGATTGTTATTGGTGAAACCGATTCGTCAGAACCCGACGTGACAACAGAATCGTCTTTTTGTTTTTTCAGCTATTGAATTATAGAAAATTGACTTAAAATATATAAATATGTATATGTAATTATATATATATATATATATATATATATATATATATATATATATATATATACACACACATATATATATTCATATAATTTATTTTCCATTGGTCAATATTTTATTGTGTGAGTGATCTGAGCTGAATAACGAAGTAATCTCAATGTGTTCTCTTTTTTAAAAATAACGTATATAAATTTTTCCTAAAAGCATTAGGTTAGGTTCCTATAATTTATTTATTTTTTACTAAAATATCATTTGAAGTAGTTTCATTCTTTTGGTCCCATAGTGATTATAGTGAGTTATAAACCCCTTCCCCTTTCTAAAATGAAATGGTGAATCCGTTAGTAGAATTAGCCAGAGGCTTGAAATGAAATTTTGTCTTTTATTTGTAATCAGTTTCGGTATGACTTGAATCTTTATCTTCAATTTGTTTCTGTTAATTCGAAATTAGAATTTTTCTCTTGAAACTTTTTGAAGTTTAAACATTTACAGAACTTTTCTTATTTAAAAAACATCAACATTGATTTGAAAGTTGTGTTGATATCGCCAAAAAAGTCGATCTAAAAAATCCCTTTTATTTCTATCTACTCAAACAAACGACATATTAGAATCAAGTAATTCATTTAAGATAAATTATAACTCCAATCTTAGCCCAATTACTGTTTATTTCTCACTTAACTTAACCTTATTTAAAAATTTAAATAAATAAAAGTCAATGTTTTACCATAAGGCTAGAAATTTATTTTTAAAAAACGTTTAAACGTTTTAAAATGCTGCAGGCGGCAATAAACAATCCAGAGGGTATCTGTCGCCCTTCGAAGACCAAACCAAAAATGTTTAGAAGCGAATCCTGGTATTTTCCAACATATATTGAAATGAGGTTTGGATAACCGAAATGTTGAAATATTTATGAAATAGTGCCTATTTTAAAAATTTCGTTTATTTTTATTAGCCTATAAAATTTAAACAAATGGAAGTAGTATTAGACGGTTTATTTTATCAACTTTAACTATATGAAACCGTTAAAATGGAACTTTTTAAAAAAAGTTTCAACCCCTGGGATTAAGAATAAGATGGAATTAATGAATTTAAGAAGAAAACTATTTTTGTATTTTAAATTGCGATATTTACGTGAAGTTTAATCTAAGAAGTACTTTTTTGTTAAATATTGTTTAATGGAAGCCTCATTTGAGAGTTGAAGAACAAGATTGAGAGTTGATAATTTGTTATTGGTTTTTGGAATTAATAATGGTGAAAAAAATAGATGGCCATGTTTCTAACTATATCCGGAGAGTCTATATTTGATAAAAATTGTTAACAACCGTGTGATTGGGTAATTGGGTTAGAGCTGGCTGGCCCCCTCGAAAACATTGAGGACAAAGGCGTCCCGGGGAGGCTCCTACCTCCCACCGGCTACATTGTTCTGTTTGTTTGCAACTATACCGCTAATAATAACCCCAGCTCAACAATAGTTCTTTGTTTGTCTTCTTCAATAATTACAATTACTTATTGCCAATAATTTCTTATACTCTTCTTTTAAAATATTATATCAGCCTTAAGACTTCCTCAATAATAAACACCCACAATAAATCTAATAAAAATTATGTTGTGAAAAAAAGTAAAATAATGTATATTTATATATTTTATATAGAGTTGTGACATGGGTGGAACGGAGCAAACGCCAGGAGCGGGTCCCCACACATGAAAATAATAAAAATTTACCTCTGGGTCATCCCAACTCTTCTTAGCTTTCAGCTACGATTTAGTTTGTCATGAATCACAAACTAAAATATATATATATATATATATATATATATATATATATATATATATATATATATATATATATATAAATTTATAGAGAGAGAAAGAGAGAATTATTTTATTTTTTTTAACTCAAACAGTTTGAGTGTAATCAATTCTTGAACGATATCACTCAATTTTCTCTATTAATCTATATGGACTTTGAAAAGAAGCTGCAAGAACCCGGTCTAATTATTTCATGTTGTTGTTGTTAAGGGCTTAGAGGCGTAAAACCCCGATGTCATCAACGCCTATCTAATCTTATTTCATGTTTTGATAAGTATTTAGAATTAATCGATTACTATAGAATAATTATCTTTATTAAACATTTCTCCTACATTGAAATAATTTGTTGACTTTAGCCGGAAGTCATGAAATCCGGGGATTCTGGACCATTCTGCTTCGGACAGTGGACTATCTACACAAGCTAGGAAGACAAAATTCAATGTAAATGAGTTCAATTATTTTATAGTTAAAAATTATTTTTCTTAGTTACAAAAAGAGCATTTTAGTGTAGGAAATGTTTTCACGCAAATAAAAAAATAATTTACAACACATATTATAGCAGGTAATAAAAAAAAAAATCAGGAATATGCAAAAAAAAATTCACAGTTTACAAAAATAATATACTATGTGCTAGTTAGGAGTTGCTGAAACTATTCAAAGAATAACATAATTATTTTGGATTTATTTTCTATTTTTTCATAAACAACATTCCCCATCCGTTATATTATATCAATTATTTTTGTTGCCTTAAATAAATACAGCGCTCAATAATTTTTTTCGATCTTTTGCAACTGCCATGAAAAGTATTATGTGAATGGTTTACAACCATATGACTATTTCTAGAAATATGTGCAATGACAATCAAAACATTACAGTTTATTATTGTTTTAAACACTGATTTGGTGCAAATAATTCCTAAAAAGTATGTAATTGGATGAAGCGAGTAGTAATAGTTTGTATAAATCAGATCATATTGGTTAATTCACACACGGATGTCCCCGCTAACCAGGAGATCGAAATTCCCGGCCCTCGAGATTCCGGGGGAAGGGGAGGAGGGTTAAAAGGCTTTATAAATAAAAAAAAAAAGATGACGCCATTAGCGTATCCAAGGGAGAGGGTCTCCCCTTACCAACTTGAAAAATACATAAAAGAGCAAAATACATTTATTAAAATTTCTGAAAAAAATAGTATTGACTGCAAAAGATGGTTTTAAATCATAATTTGCTATATTTCAACATTTTGAAACTAAATATAAAATTAAGTGTAAAATTAAATAAGTACAAATAATCATTATAAATAATTTACTTAAGTAAGTAGTGTTAATACTACGTAATATTGAGCTTTTTTTTATCATAATAACTAAATCAATATTGATGATAAAAATAAAAGACGTGAAATATTAAATGGGAGGTTATAATGAAGCTTAGTTTTATAATTTTTTCCTGGAAGCTGACGCAGTGGATTGCGATCTGGCTTCTCGAAAATGGGTTTTCCATTAGAGCTAGGAAAAACATAGCTAAAAATTGAGTTGAATATTGGAGAAGTTTTGATATGGTCATATCAAGTTATGATCCTGGAAGAGCTAAACCATCCTATACTTGCTCGAGTATCCCTATAAACTATTCCTGTTATTTAATAACTATGGATTTTGAAAGGTTGCTTATCTATACTCAATAAAGTATAGATTGAAAATAATACCGGTTTTTACTGCGGCCCTCTTGTTTACACAAAAGAGCTAGAATCAGTCAATATACGATCACGAAATTGAAAACTGAGAGTATGGTGAACAAACTGTTGATGTTGAACAAATGACTTCTTAATGAAAGAAAATATGAAATTTGCGCAAATAAACCCCCCACCACCCCCTCCCGTATATATCAGCCATATCATAACTGTTTGGTCTGCGGGATTATTTTTTTTTTATAAACGATCAAATTTCATATTGTACCCTGACTTTATTTGAAATTCACTTCAACACTAATTCAGATAAATTAAATATAGATGAAAAATTAGAAACAAAAAGTAGCCATTGGAGTAGAATGTGTTGAATGTGAATGTTATTGTAACTAAAACCAACCTTCTTTCCCATTCCTGAGCCCCAGCTTCCAAAAATATTAGGCCAGTCAATTAATGATCAAAGCTATTGTTGCCAAAAATAAAGTAGAGGTTTTAATTTATTTTTTACTTTTATATATAAGAGCAGATTTGTATTTTTGATCAAAATACTTGTATGTTTTAGGACTTTTTTTAATGATTTTTCATTTATAACTCCTCCATAATATGGCTAAGATAATTATAGAACCACAACTTAATATTTTGTTGTTCCTCAAGGTAGTATCCTTGGTCCTATCCTTTACACAGTTTGTACAGCTGGCATCCCAACCCATCCTAACACTGTTATTACCACTTATGCCGATGATACATGTGTCCTATCCGTTAATAATGCAAACTATCCGTTAATCCCAACCATTGCATCCCAAACTCTTCAATCACACATCACAAGCCTTGAAGAATGGTGTCAAAACTGGAGGATTAAAATAAATTCTAATAAATCCCATCAAATCACCATTACCCTTCGACGTAAACCTATGACCTCATGTCCCACAGTATCCTTTAATAATACCCCACTTATCCCTGTTGAACAAATCCGATACCTTGGACTTCACTTGGACAAACGTCTAACTTGGAATCCTCATACCAGACTGAAACGACAAGAAACCGCTCGACGTTTCCGACTACTCCAACACTTACTAGACAAACGCTCTAAACTTCCCCTTAATTACAAAAGACTCATATACTTGACTATAATAAGACCTATTTGGACTTACGGAGTTGAGCTATGGGGCTCCACTAAACCATCGAATTCCTCTCGCATCCAATCCTTACAATCCAAAATCCTTCGTAAAATCCTCAATGCTCCTTACTTTGTCACTAATAAAATAATCCATAAAGACCTCAATGTTCCATATGTTTCCGATTTGGCCAAATCCAGATACCTATCCTTCCATAATAAACTTCATAACCATCCGAATCCTCTTGTTCCTAACCTTGCTTCCTCTTCGATTCCTGAAAACCCTCCGAGGCGTCTGAAAAGAAGATGGCCTCGTGATCTTCTCATGTAGACAAATTATTAGAGTGCTACCAGTGGGTAGTTTCTCAACAAGCGTGTTTCATGCAATAATATTTCTCTGTACAAATTTACTTGATGTATTTATACTAATACAGTTGTAAATATCATAATAAAAGTTAAAAAAAAAAAATATTTTGTCAAGTGGTGTGGTCGAAAATGACGATTAAAGAAGATTTTGAAATAAGCTAAGAGAAAAAACGCATTCAATATAAGTTGTAATAACATTGCGTTTGAGTCAATTGTTACGTTTTATTTTTAATAGTCAATTGTTACATATTTTGCAAACAATTATATAAAAAAATGATCATGTATTGAAAGCAATATATTTACATTAGTCCTATAGTTTGGAGACCCCAACTGTAAACTATGTCTTTGCGGCTACGTTAATTTCACCGATTTTCAAATAAATCCATGTAAGATTTCTAAAGCAAGTTGCATCTTATGGTAAATAAGCAAGATTTGCTAAAAGGAGGCAATGGAATACTTTTTACGGTATTTAATTTTAAAAATATATAATCCTAGATGTTTTCTAAATTCTCCGCAACAACCTGGTGGACGCTCAGTGAAGCGGGTTCACAAAAAAAAAGTAATAAAGGGTCCCTTAAATTTTAATAATTATCTAACAGGAGCGACTATGTTTTATTTGTTGCTTTTTGGGAAATTGCGAAAAACATATTTTAAAAAAATAAATAAATATATCGAATAACAAAAAAAATAGAGATTATAAACTATCGCCTAATGATTTAAAAACATATATTAATTATCCTACTCCTTATCAGCCATACAACATTTATGCTTTGTTACTATAGATGTTTCCATAATATATGGAACTAGTAGGCCCGTGCGAAAAATTCGCACAGCATATTGTTACCAAATGCCAAATTAATAAGAAAATGAGAAAATGCAGCTTATCAAAACATTAAGACATCAAATGTTACTTTATCGATAAATATAATCCACAAAGCAAACAAAAATTAATTTAAATCTTCATTTTTGTTTGGAACCAACATGTATACAAATTTCAGTAAGCTGTATATTTGCTAAAAATTGTCCGATTGCGATAAATTTTTTTTCCTTTTGTAGGGAATTTAGTAACCTTTTATATTATTATGGGCATAACCAAGGGAAAAGTGTGTAATTTTTCAGTTATTCGCAAATAAAGTTTATTTTCTTTCATAAATTGTTTGCCTGAATTTTCTGGGTGATTGGACTATTTTGCCAGCCTGAAGGAGAAGGAAGCCTTCGAAATTGGTGGCTCAATCTTGAGATTTGGTGAAAAATTAACGATGATATGGCTTGCCGATCAAAAACACCATCGATGAATAATATAAACTCCCCCTCTCTCGATCATAGAGACCTCAAGTCGACGAAATGAGACATGTATTCAATGACAGTACTACAATTAATGTAAGGTTGTGTGGATGCGAACCCTATGCCTTGCGTTATCTCGAAAATAGTACGTTTTTCGGCTTAAAAACGCAGGATCCGATAGTTCCAAGGGAACTATCCGGGTCTTGCTGTACGCATCAAAATCTTTAAGATCAAATTTGTCCCGTATCGATCTACAGACCTACCACCGTTCCAGTATCGAAGCCTAGCAAAATGTTTATATCGACTTTATTTATTTTAGAAAGAAAAACAAAAGTGGAGAATACGATTCGCTTACCCCCCGTGAAATTCTGAATCCAACGGTACCCCATTCGTGGTATTTGAGCATGACAGGAGCTTATATTTGGTACAAAACCGATTTCGAGCCTTACTGTAATAATATATGTACGGATAGGGTTTTACAATTCATTATTAAATATTTTTTACAAAACAAAATAATATGTAACTGAAGCTTGAAAACAAACTCAAAAGAAAAATATGCGAAAAACTGTATACTATTAATACCACTAATAAATTTTCTTATCTCTATATTTATTATCGAAAATGATAGTTAAATAATATCAACATTATAAACACAGATTTAGATTTTTAAGATAACAGACAAAAAAAAAACTAATAAACTTTAATTCGCGAAGAAAAGAATAAGAAATATTTAAAAAAAAAAACTAAAACTAAAAATTAAGAAGAAATATACCAATAAAGAATAGGAGAAGATGGGAGCTAGAATAATGGCTGCCAGCAGTGAGTCGTACAACCAAGTTTAGGATATACAAAACCATTATTCGGCCAGTTGCAACATATGCGTGCGAGACATGGACTCTAACGAAGGCATCTGCAAAACGAATAAATCGGTTCGAAAGGAAAATACTAAGACGGAAAATAGGACCTAAACTGGAGGAAACAGTTCCCCACTTGAGAGCAAACGAGGAGATATACTCAATGTACGACGATCTGTCTATTTCCCAATTCGTTCGAGTTGAGCGAATGAAACGGTCAGGAGATGTCCAGAGAATGGATGAAGCGAGAATAGTGAGAGAGCTTCATCATGGGAAGCCAGAGGGAATTAGGTCTAAGAGAAGAGCGAAGGCAAGATGGATTAATAGTGTAAAAGAAGTTCATTCAGATGCGCAGCCAACTGGGCAAAGGAAATTGAGCAGGCTAAGGACCGCTACATGTGTCTCTTGTTCCAATAATGAATAAATACCAATAAATAATTTATATAAGAAATAGTAATTAAAACAAAACCTTATATATACATATTTACATAATCTCAACGGTGTCCTTTGTCTAATACGCACATTGAGTTATATGAGAAAACGGAAATTTGGAGTTGGTCGAGCAGAGCTTCGTCAGCATTTCCTTTGCCTACTTGTTTAACTTGTAAAAAATGTTTATTTGTCTATTTATGAAACTCGTAACTGATAATCACCGGTTCGGAGTGGGAGAAGAGAAAATCCGGAGTAGGCCTTAAAGCTTAAATGTTTTCTCACACAAGTCAAATTGGTTTCATCCATCCATAATTCCCTAGCTTCCTTCTCCACTCGCGAGGTTTCACTATCCGTTCTTTTTTCCAAACTCCCTTTAATTATTTGAAACATATGTTGCCTATAAGACTACAACTTTAGATTAATATTTAAAACTAATTTATTTTTAACTAACCATCTTCGACGTAAAAAAACAACATTATTTTACCAACTAATGTCTTTTTTCACCACAACTTAATCCTTTATTCAGAATAGAATACCGCCAACTGTTTCTCAAGCAATTTTCTTTTTTCTTCCACTATCCCCGAATGAGGATTAAAACGTGATATCATCTCAAAATGTAATCATTTATCCAAATGGTAGAGACACAACTAAATATTTGATTTATAGATAATGAGAGGACAGTCCCTGGCGCGGTAATGAATGTCAAGCCAGCTCAATCGAAAACTTAACATACCGAATAACAGATATGTTTTCAGATCAGTGTCTCCGAAAGAAAGAAAACGAATTGAATGGTAATTCTTAGGAAGCTTTTGTTTCCTAAATTGTCGTGAACAATATAAATATATTTCAATCCAATGATAGCTCGCATATGTTGTGATTGAGGCTGCCATAGGGAGGAAGGGAAACACCGTCGGTGGGGCTAGCTCTTTTCCATTTTGCTGCTTCACCGATTGACTTTTAATAAAGCTGTCAATTGTAACTGTTTGCGTTTTTATCAATTCAAAGTATACATTTATTTAGACAGGATTAAATGGTTAAAACGGAGTGTGGAAAACAGTTTGAAAATTACTAAACATGTTTTTTTGTTTAGAATACTGTTGACGACAGCAGCAGCTTCATTGCGGACCTACCTCTTTTAAAAAGTAAGTAACAATTATTATAACCATTTGCTACCATATCTTTATAGTTTGTTAAATTAAAAATGCTTAATTCTAATCCATTTTCATCCTTCAGTTCATGTAAATTGAGACTTTTACATGGAAAATATTTTACGGTACCGAAAACCATTTAAGAAAATAACATATACAAAAACTTTTCCGAAATAAATAAATTAATTTATAACTTTTTTATATATATTTTTATATTTATTGAGTATTACAACAATCTGTCACTTGGACATTAGTTATAGTGAAGTAGGATAACATTCACACTATATGTACAAAAAAATATAAAATAAATAGATGCAAAATAATAATAATTAATAATCAAAAGGTATATACAATAAATAAAATAACTTAAAAATAAGAAAATTAAAAGAAAGCAAAAATGCATACCTATCTCTGGTATCCCTTCAAAACGAATAGATCTTTCGCCTTTTACTAATTTATAACTAATACAAATCTTAAAATATAGAAAATATAAATTAGTTTTTAGTGACTACCATATTTTATTTTACATAATCAAAGCGTGACGGGCCGTATCGAAAACACCATCCAGGGGGAAAATCTCTATTTAGTATTAGAAGAGTTGGAGTTTACAGGAGCCCAACTTTTCAGTCCAGTCATTTAGTCTCGATAGTGATCCTCTCTTAACTTTTTTACTTCTCTTCCACTTACTCTGTCTCTCTCCGCGAGAGATGATGCGGAACTAAGATAATTTTTTTTTTTTAAAGTGATAAATTTTGTATTGCAATTATTACTTTAGCCTGGTTAAATGCCCCTATGAAGCCTCCTAGGTGTAACCATCTTCCAGAGGGTTTGTTAAAACCTTTTTGGTGATTTTCTACCAAGTCTCTACTAAAGCTGTTGTATATTAACAGACAAACTAATCCTAGAGGTCATTATTCAATTTAATTCAGGTCTAGGAGCTGAATCTCCTGATCGCTGAATTTTGAAGTTAATGATTAGTGTAAATGATTTTCATGACATCGCGAGCTGCCAAAATATCCACTGATTTTTGTCAAGAACATGCATGCCGCTTAAGGTTTTCTGTCATTCTATAACTTTCATTTTAATTAAATTATCTTGGTCGCTTTTGTCTGCCGCTCAGATGTTCAATGTTCACATTGTCTTCAGCTAAGTTAGTATCTTAAAATTTTAATGTAACTAATGTCCTCCCTTCCTCTCGAATCGCATTTTTCCCAACCATATACGAGATATTTTGCACTAGATTTGCTCGAAAAAATGAAATTATGACATTGATAGAAAACTCAAATGAATTTTATGAGTTAATCGTTGTTAATCGACTTTTTAATAACTTCTACATGAATGGTAACAAAAGCAAGTTTTAAAGTAATCTAGTTTAATATGAAGAACAGTTTTGCTTTGAATTTATAGACCTTGAATTTCAGCAAGTACCATTCCGTTCGGGTTGCGGTTCAATTATCGAAAACGGACATATTGGCCATATTGGTTGAATCCAACCAATGAGAGGAATAGAATCGATCGCCGCTAGCCAATCGGAAGAGGCCCTGGGGCAAATACCCCCTCGAGTGAGCGGAAGCCGAGGCAGACTTCGATTTCCCATCTCCTCCACGCCCCACACTCTAACCAACTTATTCTTGAATAGGGACTGACATTTCTTTTTCAGATTCAAATTCAAATTAATAGAATCTAATATTAATGAACCAATCTCTAGTTTAAATGTTTTTCAAAGTTAGACAAACTAGAGGGTAGATAGAATTTTTTATCCTATCGAAAGCGCAGTGTTCAAGTATGTTACAACATAGAGTATTCTTCAAATTCTGTTTCGATTTCGCTAACCTGATATATTGTATTTATACATTTCATACGTAAATATTATTTTATTAATTAAAAACTCCCTTAACAACTTTATTAGGTGTTAAACTCCCTTAAAGTTTTACGTAAAAACTTAGACTGAAGCCTAACAAATAAAAAAAAAATAAAAAAAATTATATAATAGAAATAATGGACTGTATAATATTGAAATAAAAACAAAACTTAGAAATAATCAATTTTTTTTCCATAACAACAAATATTGAAGTGGAAAAAAATTAATAAATTAGACATTTGGTGGATGATAAAGTAAAATAATAAGAACGGCCAATAAACGAAAATAAAGACAAGTCCTCTGATAAAAATAATAATGACATTTCGAATAAAATGCAATGATATTTGTATATATCTGTAATCGACAAAAATTAATCAGTCTACAAGTAATGCTAAAAAATGATTACTAATATTGATAATAGAAGAATGTTTATATCCAAACCAAAAAAAGATTGAATTACTTGTTTAGGTGACAGCAACGTTTTGCTTTAATATGGATTGTAGGAATGAACGAACGGACCTTGCCTGGGGAAACAGCAGGAAATCTTGTCTTCTTATGGTGACTTCAATATTTTATGAGATTTCATATTACTATCAATAAATGCAAGTGGGCAGTGCAACAGTGCATTTGCAGGGAAGGATTGTATTAAAACTCATATGCCAAACTGCAAGTGAGCAGTCTAGCAGTGTGTTTGCAGATAAGGACTATAGCGGAACTGATATGCCAAACTACAAGTGGGCAGTGCAACAGTTGGCAACCCTTAGCCTCCATTAAAGGACTGAACAGATTCCTTATGTTGACAAAGCCCCTAGTTTAAAAATGTAAAGCTTAGCGCTTTTATATTGGTATAGCTCCGATAAGACACTACACATAAATAATTAAGATTATAAACTATCGTATATTTATAAAAAATACAATAAATTACCCATTAACCACTGACTTCATTTTTTGTTTAATATTTAAACTTTAAAATTTAATGAAAATAAAAGAAAACAAAGTTAATCTCAAGAGATTTTTTAAAACAATAAATAAAAGAAATTGACGCTGTAAGCGTTAACAAATGGGACACTGTTCAAGTTGTATTATTTTGGGAAAAAATTCTCGTAATGTGATAAGTATATTAAAAATTGACAAAAATGTCGAAACGAAATTATGACATGACAGTAACTGTAGTAATAACTAATTGGCATGGTGAAGTAAGTTTCAAAAGTAGTATATATCTTCTTAATCCATCCTCGTTTATCGCTAAGCAGTGCAAGGCTTCCGCTTATAGAGCTTGATCCATAAGTCGCTATCTTATGCCAATTGTTTTCTTTTTGTCCAATCTATACCTCTTCGGTCAAAGGCTTACCTTATTCTGCTCTCCCAGGTATTCCTAGGCCGCCCCCTAGGTCTTCTACCTCCCACCTGTGTCTCATAAGTGAGCCTCACTATTCTGTCTTCCGGCATTCGAGAGATGTGTCCCAAACACCTTAGCTGGTGCTCTTCTATTTTTTTTCTTGAATCTTACAGACCCAGGTTAGATCGGATAATGATATTCCCCAGAAAGGGAATGATATTCCCTCGGTCTCTCCTTGTTTTTTCTCGAGCCTACAGAGTTGGCTCTTAGTTTGGCTTTACCCGTTAAGCTCCAAGACTCGCTCGGGTATGTCAGGATTGGTAGAAAAGTGTTTTTGAAAGCGTTCTTTCATCATTTGCCTAATACTTATTTCTATCATTATTTGCCCAATACTTTCTGGTTTCGAGTAAAAAGGATCCACAGTTGAGAAATGTTTGAAGCGCGTAGATACTCCATTATGGCTTTTGAAGGCAAATACCTGAAAATTGGACAGGTTAAGGATAAAAGTGGATAGGAACAAACTTTTAGAGCGTAATTTTCACTACAAGAAGGCTATCTTGATATTTTTTTTAACAGTCGCGAAAAACCAACCCTCTCCCCTTGGGTTCTGATTGGCATTCTCAGTCAGTTTTCTTTATCAAACTTTGTATCCATTGCTCAGACGAAAATAATGAATAGGAATAAAAATAACCTTCATAAAATTGTACATTGAAAATGTTGGAATAATGATTTGGCTAGTATTGATCGGTTTAGATTAAATAACTTTCAAAGTTGAGGACAATTTTAAGCGCTTAGATAAAAATTACTATAATATGGCCTGTAAGTTTTATGGAAAAAATATATAGATACAAATTTGTAAGGGACAATTTTTTATTCAATGAACTTCTATTAAAATAAAATAAAATATGGAAATGGCATTAATAATTGTTGGAATCACCTGCTATAGAATCTTCTTGGCCAATTGAGTTGAGGCAACCTTATCCCCTTGGCAGTTGGAGCACATATCAGAACAGCATGGTCCGACTTTAATGCAACGATTTCCACAGCATCTCGTTTTACAATCACAGTATCTTATTTCGAGAATAGAGGTTGGAGCTGGTATTTTAAGTGGTATAAACTGGTAAAAATGTATTTATTTTTTTCCAATCTCACTGTGTGGGATGCATTTTCTCCCCTTTCGTAATCTGAATTTGGTAAAACACACAGCAAGATTGTTGCAGGGGAGCAGCGGATATTAGATATTAGATTTCGATTGCCCAACGCATTTTTTGAATGTTATGTACCGGAAATTAATCAACGATTTCCCAGTTTTGGGAGCTCTATTTAAAGTAAGTGTAAATCACCCTCCTTAATAGTACTTGCAATTTCTGGTTTCGTTAATTGGGGATTAATGAACACACGTAAATGTCTTCTAATCCTTCCTCTTCTTATGTAAGGTTAACGTTTGTTATTTCCCGAAAAGTGGTAGTGGTATTATAGCCAGCAATGGTATGGGCAAACAATTTGGATTCTTTACAATTTCTCAAAATTTTTAAGATTGTAAATTGCATGAACTGTACAACCTTTCTTATATGTTTTCTGAGTATTTCTTAAGGTAATTTAGGGTGCACCAATAAATGTTAGCCTAGGTACCCCCTGAAATTAAAAAAAAAAAAAAAATCATGTATGGCACTAAAATACATTATGGGCGTCAAAACGACCAAATGACACTTTTAACACCATTTATTATTTACTGTTAATTTTTAATTGCAGCTTTTAACTTACTAAGTATACTACAAACCTAACTTAGGATAG